AAAATACACAAAAATGTAAAATAGTTATTTAAAATTGTAATAATATTGCACAATATTACTGTTTTTCATCAAATAAATGCAGCCGTAAGAAACCAATAACATTTAAAAAATCTTTATTACTACAAATTTTTGGCTGCCACTGTATATCAGAATTGTCTTTAAAATGACATAGACTTACTCTCTGTCCCACAGGAGAAGCCAGCCTATATTCAGTATCATGTTTACAATCCAGGTTATGAAGAATCCATACGGCAACACAGCGGGACAGTACATTGGACCATAAACAGTCCTGTGAGAACAATATACATAAACGTCTCATTAACTGCAACATGTTATTATTACAAAATCACATTTCATACCACTTTATTTTTTGATTGCCATTTGATTCTAGCTCACTGAGTTCATACCACCTGCAGGTAGTGGAGAGAGTAAATATGCATGAGCGACAGCCAGGTGTAGATGACACCCCAGATTGAGAAGGTCCATCCCGAGGGAGTGATTTCTGTATTGTATTTATCTGATATTGCTCCAGTGTTGTTCCGAAAAGGACCTACAAAGAGGAAAAAACAACACTGAAGCAATATATTTAACCAAAATGCAATTCTGCACCTAATTCACACTGGAAACAGTATTACATTTATCTGCTGTACATACCAATTCCTGGTCCAGCAAGTGCATTGAATATGATGCAGATGATGAATATGACAACAGAAAGGACTATGAGTGCTAAACGGGCAATGCTGTGAGCAGCTGAAATAAAGAGAATGTTTTGCTTGCTGTTGTCTGAAAATATATATATCAGCTCAAAACAGAAGCACCCTCACACATGCATTATTAGTATAATAAGTAAACAAAACATAAAGACACAAAACTTGTATCTTACCTACGTCTAAAACCAATTCCAGAGTCTGAAAACAAGCGCTGAAGAGAGAAGGAAGTTACCGTAACACCCTGAGGACTGAATAACACAAACTACACAGCTGGGATTGGTTTTATAAGTGTGCCGGTTGTGTAACTGTACAACTACGTGCTGAGTGTGACATTCAAATACAGGCATACATTGGTTGTCAACCATTTTTTTCTTTGCATAAACTTCTGATGGTCATGAAAAAGCCTTACCCAACTGACTGATCTCACTCTGAAGTAACAACAATTTGAAGTAGATGGTATAGAGTTTTTTTTTAAATAGTTTCTGTATTTCTGTAGTTGTTTTTTTAAAGGTTTCTAACTACACTTTGATAACATGGCACAGTCATTAACCTTGTTATATTGTCTTTAACAGTAATGGAAGTAAATGTATAACACATGGATGAAGCATATATCTATTATAAAATTATATATTTGAACGTGTTGAAGGAGTGACATGGAATAAAATGTAGACCAATGAAGAGGTAATAATGACTGTCAAGCTTTGGGGTGTTGATCGACTTTATCTACGTTTTGATTATCATTCTGAATCCAATTCATAATCTTTTTTTCAGCTTTTTGTTCAAAATGTTGTTTATTTCTTTATTTTTTATATCCACATTCAAGTGTTTAAAAAAAATGCATGAAGCTGGAATAAAATGTTTTTGTTTACAAGCAGATACCCTGTTCTTTTGATGTTTTGTATGTTCAGATATTAATCTAACAAAATATATACAAATTAATACCTAAATAGGGACATAGTAGTATACTTCAAGTATGATGTAAAGTTCACTTAAAAAAAACTTACGAGTATACTTGCAGTATAAAACTACTAAACTAGTAGTTTACTGAGACTATACTTCAAAGTGTACTAAAAATGCTACTACAAATATTTAATTAGTAAACTATCAGTATACCTGTAAGTTCACTTTTAGTATAGTTGCAGTACAAACTAAACATTTTGATGTAAACTAGTTGTGTACTCAAAGTTTACTACTGTTATACTTAAAGTATACTTAAGTGTATACGTTTATATACTAGAAAGTGGGCCAATTTAGTCCCAAGGAGTATTGAAATAGTACACTTACAAGTATACTACTAGTACACTGATATTTGTATACTTACCACATAAAGTTTACTTAAAAATATACTTGAACTTTACTTAAGTATACTTACTAAAATAAACTTGAAGTATACTACTTTTTGGTAAGGGCTGCCAGGAAACCGTCCTTAAAATGTGCTGCACACATCTGAATATTTTGGGTTGAACTGTTCTGGAACAGTGTTGTAAATACAACTTAACCACTGATTTCTAGTCGTGTCCTCTTTTGAAGTGACGTGACATGTGGCCAAGTATGGTGACCCATACTCAGAATTAGTGCTCTGCATTTATCCCATCCAAAGTGCACACACACACACTGTGAACACACACACAGTGGAGCAGTTGGGGGTTCGGTGCCTTGCTCAAGGGCACCTCAGTCGTGGTATTGAAGGTGGGAGAGAGCGCTGTACATTCACTCCCCACACCTACAATCCCTGCCGGTACGAGACTCGACCCCACAACCTTTGAAGTACGAGTCCGACTCTCTAACCACTAGGCCACGACTTCCCCGATATCATCCTCTTTTGGAATGCCAAACAAAGTCGTTTCGCTTTCACAACGATACACACAGCGTCACACATGGCGGGCTTGAGTGAGCAGAGGCGGGTTTGAGTGAGGAACAGCCAGTGGGCTTGAGAACGGCGTGGCTGGCAGATTCGTGAAGGAGCAGCCGGCGGGCTTGCGGCAACCACATGTGACGACCCCAGGCTGGATATCATCCTCTTTTGGAAGGCCAAACAAAGTAGTTTCGCTTTTACAAGGAAACACACAGCGTCTTCACGACATGGCGGCCGCGGCAACAACAATACTACAGTGAGTATAAGAGTTACACCTTCTTTCTTTACGTGAACATTTGGGCGGCGTTATGCAATCTTCCCACATAGTGACGTAGACATGTGGGGGGGTGTTAGAACAAGCCGTTTTAGGTAGGCGTGGTTGACTATTTTATAAAGAATATCTCTTTGGATTTGAGACTTTAGTATTTGCAACTTTACAGATCTTCTTTATGCACCAAGAGCTTGTAACACTCCAAAGAGAGAGGAAAATTGAAATCGCATCATATGACCCCTTTAAGTATAGCCTACTTCATAGGGCAATAATTTGCATACCAAGTTTCAGTTCAAGTTGTTCTTTAGGCTACCAAACCACATACCAAATAAATAAATAATAACAATAATGTAAAACAATAATTGACTAAATAATGTAATATATATAATCGCGTTAAAAAATATTTACATTACAACCATCCACGCCCTAACCTGTTACATGTGCGGCAATACGAGGATCAACCCATTTCGCGGGGGTATATGAACAGAGATAAATTACCATTAAAAATATCAATATTTTATGCTTAAATTTAAACATTTAGCCTATCATGTTTAGACATATGTTTAAGCACAACAGCCGAGCAGCTCTTGTCTGTTTATACTCTACAACACTTTTTGGTGTATTCCACGAAAATGGTCTATTCCAATATCTCGTGATCATCAGGCAGGAAGCAAACTTTCCAGTCAGTCAATCTTGTAGTGAAAAGACGTTCCTGAGTATTTCTGTTAACTCTCTGTATTTAAAATGCCTTTACTTTGTGGTGGAACATCTGAGACGAAAGATGCAAATGAAGAGGTGCAGAAAATATGCGATGAGGTTGGTAATTTTACATTGCCGATAAACAGAAGTAACGTTAGTGATGTATCATGCAACTACGTTACAGACTGACACTTCCCGTTTTTCCTCAGATAAAGTCTCATGCCGAGGATAAAGCTGGGCGCAAGTTTGACGTTTTCACAGCCAGATCTTTTAAAACACAACTTGTTGCGGGGACAAATTACTTCGTTAAGGTACGAGATAAACCCTGTGATTTTATAAATGGCCTTCTGGGGGTATCCTGTAAATGTACTGAATTCTGAACTATATGAATGTCTGAAATGTCTGTCAAAGCAATCCACATATATAATACTTAACAGCTATAAAGTTTATAAAAGCATTTTTCTAAATGATCTGTTTTTAGGTGCATGTAGGTGGGGACGACTACATTCATCTACGTGTCTATAAAACTCTGCCCTATGCTGGAGAAAAACTGGAGCTGCACAACCTACAGCCATCCAAGGCTCATCATGATCCGATTGAATACTTCTGAAGCAAACTAAGCAAATCATCATAAATACTGGCCACTCATGCAGTTCAATGTTTACATTAACACCTGAAGATGCATGTTAACTCAATCATTACATGTCATGACCTTAAAACTGTATTTATTGACTAGTGGGTTCATGGGTAAACACTACCAATCAAACTCACTGTGAATTAGGTAATTCCTTAAATACATGTTTGGCATAGTTCATTTTCTCACCCACATACTAAAAACATCGCTTAACTCACATCTAGTTACCCATGCCAGAGGTTTGGTCTTCACTTTTGGGGTTTTGTTATTAGTGATACTGATGCAGTAAACAGTTATTTTATATTTAACTGCCTGTAATGTACAGTGTTCACATTAAATGGATGGGTGAACTGTTTTAAATGGTGTTTTTTTCTTTAAGGCATAAAAGTGCAGGATTATGTGAGCTGGGTTTTTATCAAAGGTGCTTTAACCCAGGGTTTGTCAGATTGGGGTCTGGGGACCCCCAGGGGCAGCAATGGAATGCTAGAGGGTGCATGGGAGAGTTTTTGAGAAGAACTGTGTAAAAATAAATAACAAAAATAAGATTTGAATAAATAAAAATTAAAAATGTTTTATTAAAACAGGTTAAAATCAAATTATGTTTGAGAATATATATTTAAGTACATTTTAAGATAATACATCTAAGAGTATAGTACTAAAATAATAAGATTTTATTTTTACAGTATAAATTGGGTCCAAGTTTTAGGATGGTCCCTCACACAAGGATCATCATATTTGGGACTCATGGCATCTAAAAGACTGAAAACCCAAAACTATCTCATGGCAGTTCATAACTATTTTAAGCTTTGGTGAATTAGTGGCTAATTTTTTTTTTGTACGATCTGCTCCCACCCCAGTGATGGTTATGTTTAAGGGGTGGGCCTTCATACTTTTGTCTAAAAATCATACGTTCATACAATTCACATCGTACAAATTCATACGAAATCGCCAACTCGTAAAATAGTTATGTTTTCCCATGACACCAGGTTGGAAAACTCCGGCTTTAACCTTTGACACAGGTGGCCACGTCAACATCTGAGAACAGATCAATAATCTTAAGTCTCCCCATTCACTTCAACTGAACATTAATCACTGTATTGCAAAGCAAATAACAGACAAAGTTTCAGCAATTGGAAAACATTTCATGGTTTATAAAATCTTTTGTACACTATTTATACAAAAAGGTTTACAGGACTTGGACAACAGTAGTGTTTCTTCACTGCAGAAACAATCAGCCACAGAGCGTACTGATGGAGGATGGTTTGTGGGGTCAGTGACAATGTCCAGGCTCAGCTCCAGGTGTTTTTCTCAGAACAACTGTGTGGTTTACGTTGACAACGGAAGTATTATTCACTTGATCTTGGGAGAGGTGTAGTGAATTCGGCACCTTTCGTTGAAAACCTGGGGGAAAACGATCATTAACAAATATTTCTAAATGAAAACCACTCGTCTTCAATAGGATCAATAGGAGACACTCAATAACTCACCTTCAGACTCCGGTCATTGACCACTTCTTCAACATTTAACTCAGACTGCATGAGTTTTAACTGTAGGGAAATTAAGAAAAAGTATACAGAAATCAAACAAGATTTCAAACATTTGTAACCCGAGTGCATACTGTATATACAGGCATTACCTTAGTTTGCTCTTTCCTGAGTTGCTTGATAACTGACAAGTTGTCGCCATCTTTTGCCCTCTCTTCACGTAACTGCCCAACAACAGCAGAGGTCTCTGTAATACATGACTTTATTGCCTTATCTCTGGAAAGATGAGCTTCCATGAGCTGAAAGGCATAGGCAGCAGAGAAAAAGGGCTTGTAATTAGTACATCACAGAGTATGACAGTACACTAAAACCAGTCATACGTCAAGAACAAAAATAGGGGGTCTCTAATAATCATTTTAGATTATTAAAGAGTACTCTTCACGGTGATACATACAGATTCATAAAGTTCTTTGCAGGTCTGTGTGGCGTCCACTTTGCCTGAAAAGGATGCAGTGGGCACAGTGGTATTGAGGGCATGGACAATTCTGTCATCTATGGTGCGCATCACTTTTAATACTTCCTACAGGACAAGAGGAGAGATGTACAGCTTATCAATGTAAATAAAACTTCAACTTTAAGTCACTATTTGTTTTTGTATTGTAAGTAATGCAATCATCGTTATGATGTTCATATGCTTTTTAACCATTGCTGTGCTGAATATTCTTTACATAATTTGCTGTAAAAATAGCTTTTAAATCTCTCATTATGTTGTATTATCACAAAATCGTGGATTTAATATTTTTAAGAAATACAAGGCCTGTGATAATTGAAGGAAAACAAGTTGATAAAAAGATTCAAGCCAATATCCACAAGCATAACAGGAAATTTACAAGTATTTTTTGTAGGTTTGTCATTTATAACCGAGAACATCGCTACTGTAATAAGGTGGAGAAAAAAAAAAGAAAAAAGTTCAAGGGTTTTTTGGGGGAAGTAGTTATACCCTGTGGGAGTGAAATCAGTAAGTTTTAGTCCAATGAGATAAAATTAACTAGCATTTTTTGTGAAAACACATCAAGGGTGTTGATATTTGCCACCTACTGATTAATATTTTCTCTAAATGTAAAAACCCTTGGTAACTATCACATATTACGTTTAAAAAGTGTACAGTATAACTACATATACATAGGTAGCTGACAACATTTCAAAGAGAGTACTGCAGTGTGACAATCTATTTCAAACTACATTTTCTAATTCTTGTGTAATTACTATGCATGCAGCTTTATGAGTTTATATTAACTAAGGAACACTAGGAATACCTCTAAAATACTCTAAAAGATCATTTAAATCCATACATAATGATTTTTTTTTAAAAGTCACAACACCTACATTATACACCCTTCGCTATACGTTCAAATAAACTTTAAAGGTGCCATAGAATGCATTGATACAATATTTTAAATTATTCTCTGATATCTACATAGAAAGTATGTGGCTTAGGTAAGGGTAAAAAATCTCCAGAAATGGTTTTACATGTCCATTTACAACCCTAGGGTTTGTCTCTAGAATGAAATGGTCTGTTATTACCTTATTTGGAAGGGTCATGAATAATAATGTTGAGCTCTGCTCTGATTGGCTGTTTCACAGTGCGGCTCATTTCAGTAGCTTACACAGCACGAAGGAAACACATATATATATTTCAATACTTTCTATCGCAGTTATATCGTTGGTTAATTATACTGTATATAAAATGCAGACATCAGGGAGCATTGAAACTGCTTTCGAATGCACAATCGCGTTTTACTTTCACTTTCGAGATTTGCAATCGCACGTGATCTTTGTAAACTACAGCGGCAGTACTTACCACACATTTTACAAGATCAGATGCTTGTCAGTGGTGGTGCTCAGGATGTAAATCATTCGCCATCATCCTCAGCCATTTCTCCTTACTCTGTTTATGTGGTAAGTGAAATCTTATGTACTGTAATGTAACAGGCTACCGCTAGCAAGCAGCTAACCATGTCCCTTTAGTGGCTTGCGTTATTTTATTAGAACGCGTTATTTGGACTCCGGTCATTGACCACTTCTTCAACATTTAACTCAGACTGCATGAGTTTTAACTGTAGGGAAATTAAGAAAAAGTATACAGAAATCAAACAAGATTTCAAACATTTGTAACCCGAGTGCATACTGTATATACAGGCATTACCTTAGTTTGCTCTTTCCTGAGTTGCTTGATAACTGACAAGTTGTCGCCATCTTTTGCCCTCTCTTCACGTAACTGCCCAACAACAGCAGAGGTCTCTGTAATACATGACTTTATTGCCTTATCTCTGGAAAGATGAGCTTCCATGAGCTGAAAGGCATAGGCAGCAGAGAAAAAGGGCTTGTAATTAGTACATCACAGAGTATGACAGTACACTAAAACCAGTCATACGTCAAGAACAAAAATAGGGGGTCTCTAATAATCATTTTAGATTATTAAAGAGTACTCTTCACGGTGATACATACAGATTCATAAAGTTCTTTGCAGGTCTGTGTGGCGTCCACTTTGCCTGAAAAGGATGCAGTGGGCACAGTGGTATTGAGGGCATGGACAATTCTGTCATCTATGGTGCGCATCACTTTTAATACTTCCTACAGGACAAGAGGAGAGATGTACAGCTTATCAATGTAAATAAAACTTCAACTTTAAGTCACTATTTGTTTTTGTATTGTAAGTAATGCAATCATCGTTATGATGTTCATATGCTTTTTAACCATTGCTGTGCTGAATATTCTTTACATAATTTGCTGTAAAAATAGCTTTTAAATCTCTCATTATGTTGTATTATCACAAAATCGTGGATTTAATATTTTTAAGAAATACAAGGCCTGTGATAATTGAAGGAAAACAAGTTGATAAAAAGATTCAAGCCAATATCCACAAGCATAACAGGAAATTTACAAGTATTTTTTGTAGGTTTGTCATTTATAACCGAGAACATCGCTACTGTAATAAGGTGGAGAAAAAAAAAAGAAAAAAGTTCAAGGGTTTTTTGGGGGAAGTAGTTATACCCTGTGGGAGTGAAATCAGTAAGTTTTAGTCCAATGAGATAAAATTAACTAGCATTTTTTGTGAAAACACATCAAGGGTGTTGATATTTGCCACCTACTGATTAATATTTTCTCTAAATGTAAAAACCCTTGGTAACTATCACATATTACGTTTAAAAAGTGTACAGTATAACTACATATACATAGGTAGCTGACAACATTTCAAAGAGAGTACTGCAGTGTGACAATCTATTTCAAACTACATTTTCTAATTCTTGTGTAATTACTATGCATGCAGCTTTATGAGTTTATATTAACTAAGGAACACTAGGAATACCTCTAAAATACTCTAAAAGATCATTTAAATCCATACATAATGATTTTTTTTAAAAAGTCACAACACCTACATTATACACCCTTCGCTATACTTTCAAATAAACTTTAAAGGTGCCATAGAATGCATTGATACAATATTTTAAATTATTCTCTGATATCTACATAGAAAGTATGTGGCTTAGGTAAGGGTAAAAAATCTCCAGAAATGGTTTTACATGTCCATTTACAACCCTAGGGTTTGTCTCTAGAATGAAATGGTCTGTTATTACCTTATTTGGAAGGGTCATGAATAATAATGTTGAGCTCTGCTCTGATTGGCTGTTTCACAGTGCGGCTCATTTCAGTAGCTTACACAGCACGAAGGAAACACATATATATATTTCAATACTTTCTATCGCAGTTATATCGTTGGTTAATTATACTGTATATAAAATGCAGACATCAGGGAGCATTGAAACTGCTTTCGAATGCACAATCGCGTTTTACTTTCACTTTCGAGATTTGCAATCGCACGTGATCTTTGTAAACTACAGCGGCAGTACTTACCACACATTTTACAAGATCAGATGCTTGTCAGTGGTGGTGCTCAGGATGTAAATCATTCGCCATCATCCTCAGCCATTTCTCCTTACTCTGTTTATGTGGTAAGTGAAATCTTATGTACTGTAATGTAACAGGCTACCGCTAGCAAGCAGCTAACCATGTCCCTTTAGTGGCTTGCGTTATTTTATTAGAACGCGTTATTTGCTTTCCTGAATACAGACACCAACCCATCCCTGCACATCACGTCCCCTGCACGGCCTGGAACATAACATTTATTTCCATGATCTGCCATTTTCGTTATTAACCTTGCTTGCTTCTTCACAATACCTGCAGAACTTCTGATGATTCGGCTGTGCAGGTTCGGCTGGCGGCTGGCTATGCAAATGTTGGGGGCATAACTGTTAGTGACACCGACTGTAACGTCACAGTAGGTGTTATGTTCTGATTCACCTATTTTTCAGTGGTTTTTTGCATGCAGGAGATCAGGAGATTTAGGAGGAAACAATGGTGTTTGAGGCTCACTGTATGTCACTTCCATGTACAGAACTGTTATTATTCAACTATTCAACTATAAATACAGTTTTCCATTCTTTGGCACCTTTAACTGAAAATCCTGGTGCTGAAAAAAATTCATGAATCCATTTTGTCAACAACCCACATGTTACACAATATGTACTTAATGGCTTTAATAAAAAAATTACTTCTGTATTTTGTATTGTGTATAAATGATAGCTCATATAATGCACGCCTTTATATTTATAAAGAACAGCACAGTTGCTTAATCGCTCATGTTTGTTCTGCTGCTCATTGAATCTCACTACTGCATGTAACAGTCCACGAGGGTCAGTCATTCGCATTAACATCACAACCACCTGTTCCCAAAAAATTCAGTGTGCGTTTATAAATCCTGCATAATTTTATCCTGACCGCTGACAACTTCGCACGTTTTACCTGAAACATTGAAAAGTCCTCACAGTTCAGAACTCCACCGGGCGCCGCCATAGTGGACTGAAGAGGTCCTGCGCGCTGAGGGTGTCCAAATACTGCCTGGATTACATTTGCTACAAAACTGTTGTACTTAACATTTATTAAACAACGTTACATGTCATTATTGAGTATTACCGCATGCTTATACTATCGTGATCCAACCTAACAGAGACAGAATTATTTCTCACGATAAAAAGGATCAGGATAAACGTGGGCGTGTAAAATCCAATAAGTGATTTATGCGAAATGTTTTACAGGAATGCAAAAATTATTTTTTTATTTAACTTTACTTTTAGCTATACCATTTACAACTGCATGCGTGTTACGCTGACTTTACATAAGTATGTCCTTAACAGGCGGCTGCTCGGGGTCCTTCAGTGTCTCAGCAGCTCTGCGCTCGCAAATGAACTCGAGCTGCTGACTTTACGTAGTTAGAGGAACTGAGCCTGGCATTGCTAATTGGACACCATTTCATGGCTTAAAATTGTCTTTTTCTTTCATCATATTTTTCTTCAGAAGTCATGATCTTCAACATGATCAGAGGGCCTCGCGCTGCCTTTGGCACTTTAATAGGTCAGTGTTTCCTGTATGATTTTTTTTGGACGCAGACAGGGAGCATATGATGAGCTTTGGCACTGGGCACAGTGGGCATTCTTCAAACACTTATCGGCAGAAAACTAGCAAATAAATTGTGACGTAGTTTCACTTTTCGAGACTGGCACGATTGGATTCATAAGAGTGCGTAAAGTTGTTGCATGGATTTGATTAATTTTAACAAAAATAAAATGTTCAAATGAATTAAATTAAATGATTATTAAACAGCTGCTAAAATGATAAATCAAAAGTTTAAATGCAATGTCATTTCCTCAAAAAAAAAAAA